CCAGTTTGAATGGGGCAAAGAAGTTGGGTAAGGCAAGAACAAGTGATTAGGTCATGGCATGCTTTAACTTATCAAAGATAGCTTGAGTTGTATCAGACCAAATAAAAGCATCTTTCCTTAGTAATTCAGTCAAGGATGCAACGATGAAGGCATATCCCTTGACAAACCTGCGGTAGGACCCTGTCAAACCAAGGAACCCACACAATTGCTTAATAGAAACAAAGGTAGGCCAAGCTATAATAGCACTAATTTTTTCTGGATCAGGTCTCACTCCTTGTGCTGAAATGATCTGCCCCATGTACTCCAAGGTGCTATAGGCAAAAATGCGCTTGGATATTTTTTAAAAAATTGATTACACAGTAGTTGATTAAATGTTTCCTCCAAATGGTAAATGTGTTTATATAGGGACTTGTTATACACCAAAATATCGTCAAAAATACAATAATAAAACGACCAAAGAAAGGTCTAAACATATAAGTCATTGTGGATTGGAAGGTAGTAGGAGCGTTACAAAGCCCAATTGCATTACTAGATACTCAAAGTGACATTCATATGTGCGAAAGGCAATTTTTGAAACATCACTGGAGCCATGCATATTTGGTGATACCCCGAGCGTAGGTCAAGATTTGAAATTTTTTTGAGCAACATGGAGTTCATCGATGAGTTCGTCTATGGATGGGATTGGAAATCTATCTCGCTGCGTGATAGCATTGAACGCGCGATAATCCTTGCAAAATCTCCATGAAACATCTTTCTTTCGGACGGGCAAGACCAGGGATAAAAACGACTGGTGCTATTTTGAATTATTCCAGCTAATAATATCTTACAAGTGAGCTTTTCAATTCCCTTTTTTTGGAAATAAGGGTAGAGATACAACCTCATGTTGACTGGTTGGGCACCTACCAAGAGAGGAATGTGAGGGTAAGTTGGTCTACGAGGGGGAAGTCGTGTTGGTGACTCAAAAGTGGCCGCAAAACAAAGGAAGAGATCTTCAATGACCTTAGGAATGGGCCACGTCGATGGCGTTGTCGGTGGTGAGGGCACAATCTGGAGAAGGAACATTTCAGCAACGGATTGGGTTGACACCATCCTGCGCATTTGGGCTACGGAGATATCTTGGGCCTTAATGGAAGGGTTGCCTTGTAGGGTGACCACTTTGCCGTCTTTGATGAATTTCGTGGTTAAATTGTCATAATCTGTCAGAATGGGCTCAAGTGTTTTCAGCCTTTGAACCGCCAAAACCAAATCAGCACCAAAAATTGGTAAAAGATAAAGGTCTATTACAAATTGATATTCCCCAATAAAGATTTCACTTGTTTACAAATAGAATGAGAATTCAATTCCTCCTCATTACCAATAAGTACTTGGAATCCCTAGGCTTGTTGTAATTGAAGGCCTAAGAAGGCATAAAAATTGATATGGGGTCGCGTCCATATCTGCTTCATGGTTATCTGTTGGGTCTTGAAGAGGTTCTAGGCTGGGTTCCTCCATTAGCAAGTTCTGCATATCAATGTGCTCCTCCGATTTTGGAGACGAAACGAGAAGCATAAATGAATGTTTACACTTATATCTAGGATGAAAATTTTCATCATAATTATAGCACAATCCCTTATCTCGTTGCGTTTGGAGCTTCGTCGATGTTAATCTCTTAATCTGGGGCTTGGAATTTGGTAAGTTTTTGAATTTAGAACCGGATGAGGTAACAGACACAGGGGCAACAAGAATGGTTAATGGTTACTGAAGCGGGGATGATCAGAGCTTTAGGTTTTCCATTCGTGAAGGATGACAAAGTATAGAACTTAGAGCGAGAGGAATTTTTCTGATCACCAAGCTTATCCTTTTAGAGACCAGCCAATCCGATAGCCTAAGATAAGGATAGGGGTTGAATTGGTTGAACTTCGCGACGTATCTCAGCCTTCAAGCCCGAAATGAAGCAACTTAAGAAATAATAAGTGGATACCAGATGCATCAATTGGTAGGGCTTCGAAACGGGCTTGGTACTCCCTTATTGACGTCATTTGCATGAGCTTCATTAAATCCCCCTTGAGATCATCATACTGTGAAGGAGCAAAGCGGAGTTGGAGAGCTTGCATCAACACCGACCACAGAGTAGTTTTCCTATTAACCAAACATCTGTTGATACCAACTGAAGGCTTCGCCTTCCGTGTAAAAAGACGAGAACCGAGACCTCTGTTCCTCCAGGGTGATGTGAAAATCAAAAAACTAGAGATCTTGAAGATCCAACCCAATGGTTCGGACCCATCAAAGCGAGGGACATAAAGTTTAATGCTTGCAGCTTTGATTTTAGTAGGAATCAACTGAGTATGTGGTCCGGAAGAGCTACCATCATTCAGAGCAGTTAGACCTGTCACACGAGCCTCTAGGCAAGAGACCTTTTGAGCCATGTTTTATAATTCTTGCTAAAGAGCCAATTGTGACTGCAGCAATTCTGCGAGGGTGGAAATTATTGAATTAGGAGACGAAGAATGGCCGATCATGGTGAAAAGAGTCAATGAAGGCACCAAATTGTTATCTAAATAGTTGTCTCTGTTCGAGGGAGGTCCCTCATTTAACCCAAAGGTTATTTGGTGAAATTCTTCTCTATTCAATGATAAAAACATCAGTCTCTTTATACACCAATATAACACTTCCACTAACAAACCACTAAAATAACATAAAAATGAAATGCAGTACCCAAAAAACACTCGCAATAGAATCCGTTACACTCACTTCACACCTCATAACAACCTTCTAGCCTTCCCCCCTTTCAACAATTCATTACATGATAAAGGCCTTCATTCGTTTAGGCTTAGTTTTGTTTCGTTTGGACCATCTAGTCCTTGGGCTCGGTTGGTGGTCCATTAAGTGTTCCTCAAATTCCCCATCAGTTGCTTCTTGGTTCACTCTATTGTCCCGCGTCATTTGTTCATTAGGCTCATGCGTAACATGAACTACCAAGCATATAGATCTATTGAGAATGGGTTATTCCTAGGGGTGTGCAAAATAACCAAAAAATTGAACTGAACCGAACTGCGCTTAAAATAATCGATTTTTAAAAACTAGTTCATGAACCGAACCGATTTTTAAAGAACCAGCTCATGAATCGAACCGACTTTTAGAACCAGTTTAAGAACCGAACCATTTTGAACTGCACCGAACCGAACTGTTTTCAAACCGAACCAAATTGATTTTTATAACTTTATTTTTTAAATTTTAAATTTTTTTCTTTTCAAAATAGGGTCGACCGGAACCGGTTCCGAATTGAACCGAATCGTTTCCAACCGAACTGAACCACTTCCGAACCGAACCAGTTTTGAACCGAACGATTTAAACCAATTCGGTTCGGTTTTTCAAAAAATTAAGTTTGGTTCGACTCATGCACATGCCTAGTTATTCCAACTTAATCAGTGGTCTCGAGTTCAAGCCCCTAAAAACGTAGTTGTATTAAAAAACTTGATAGGGAGAGCTTTGTCACTGATATAGCCCTACTTAGCTCTAATCGAAAAAATCAAGTAATCGATAGATCAATGTATAATTTTAAAAAATAAATAAATACTTGATAGTGCGTCATGATATTTACATGTTAAATATTTTTGAAAATATAAAATATATATCCAATTACTCACTTTACAAATATTTTCATTTTGGATCCATCAGTGTTCAAATATTTAGATCAGAGAACCAGTAAAAAAAACTGGTTTGAATAATATATTTGATCGAGTAAGCAAAAACCAGTAACCTGAAAACGCAAAATAATAATAATATTGAAAAGTGACATTGTTCATATAATGAAAAATATTAAAGGGTAGAAATCTCAAAAAAAATAAAAATAGAATGGAATGTTATGCGGGCCGAGGAGCAGAGCACAAAAGGAGTACTTCTAGAAACGAATTAAGCTAATTTAATTACAATAAATTAATTCGATATTACATCTTAATCCAAAATATTAACTCAAAATATTAAGATATTAAATTTATGGGACTTTCTATTTATATAATCTTTACTTAAGACTGTTAATGTGAAACTCCATCACATCTAAATATTCGAGCAATCTTTTCCTCTAAGTATATAATGAATTTCAAATTTTCTTTTCTTTGGTTGTTACTTTGTTGCGAGAAATTTCGTGTGCACTATTGGTAAGATTCTACCAACATGGTCAAAAGTTTGATTTGTTAATGAGTCGGGTGTATGCTCACCAACTTGAATACCATTCTTGTCCCAGACAAACTTTGTTCATTCCTAATTTATTAACGGATTTCCAGTAATTGAAGGACAATGATTGTAATAAAGTAAAGGATTCTTTTTTTTTTCTCATGATTACAGGAATTTTTGGAAAAATACTAATTATATACCGCAGATAGTATGTAATTATAAGATATATAATTTTTTTTAATATTATAATTATGTATCATCTGTAATATAAAATTATTTTTTTATAAAAATTTATAATTATATACTATCCGTAATATATAATTATTTTTTGTTGTGAGATTTTTTTTTTTTTTTGGCTTAAAGTAAATCACTTTTACTTTTTGTCTCAAAATCAAAAGTGAATTTAAGAAATTCTATATTGTTTTCCTTTATTAACAGGTGCCACGCACAAATTACACGAGACGAAGTTATTATTTCTAGTTGATTCAAAGCTGCATATAAAAGGAACCTAACATATCTAGTAAATTTTTATATTCTCCATCCCTTTGTTTTCTGATATTGATTATGAGCTATGTGCCATTTTATCTCCGTTCCAACCTCACAGTCTCATTCGAACCATTCGGGTCATTCCACGTTTCTCTACTCTCAACAACGAAGCACATACAAATGGTTGTAATTTCAAAATGGCTAGCAGCTAGCTACTGAATTTGTAAGTGAAAAAAAAAGGGTACATTCAGAATCAAATAGAGTCTTAGATGTTATGGACAATACATTTGTATATTAAAATTTTTATTCAAGAATACTTATGCAAAAAACCAAACCAACAGTCCAAGATACAAGAAGCATATTTATTAAACATTTTGTTGTGCTACTATATCCTAATCACACAAATAATGCAAAAGCTATAGTTTGAAGATATGTTGATGGTAACTGAGAACTGTAACAAGAACAACTTGTGCCTCATGATGATCCTCTCGATTTCAACTTCCATTGACTTTCTTGCAATCGGATCTGATTTCACCCTGACTTCCTGTTAAAGGGCTAATATTACCCATGTTAATCATGGACTGAGCAAAGGCAAGGAAGAAGGCTGTTTGGTTGCTGGCAAAGTTGTTAACAATGGAGATTGTAGCAGAGCCATTAGTGGAAAACAGTTCTTGGTCTGTTTGGAGAAGACCCTGATTCTTAAGAAGATTTGTGAAGTAGTTGTTATCAAAAGTATTTGGGGATGAAGGGTCAAGGTTGTTCAGTGTAGTCCCGCTTCCATTTTGCGGACAATTTTGCTGCAGAGTAGCCAAATAGGTTGAATTCAAAGTGGGATCAGGGCTACCAGTGCCACTGAAATTGAACAGCCTCTGGTTGAAAAATCGACATTGTGCACGACCAAAAGTATGTGCACCTTCAAGAACATTAGAATCAAACAGTAGTCAATAAGCATGGTAATAGTTATATAATTAAATCAAGCATTTCACAAATTTGGTGTGGGCTAGAAAAAAAGATAGTAGGAACTAGGAAGTGGATCCTCTTATATCTAATTTTCACATGATGTAATGAATCTGGGTATTTAATGACAGATCAAATTTTCATAAATCAACATATGACATGATCATGTTAAAACTAAATATGAAAGCCAAAAAAGGTAGACACAGTTGCATAAGGGTTTGCTTCATATCCCACAAGAGCGTAGGTTCAAATCCTGAGTGATATAAGGCCTTTGTTGATGGGTGATATGTAATACTTCATAGAAATCTTCAAAGAAATTGGGATATCTATACTAATATCTAACTTCACTTAAACTTTTACCTATAATACAAAAAAATAAAATAAAATAAATATGAAAGAATCATTCCAAAATAACTAGTTATGATTACCAGATAATGCAACAAGATCACTTATGTTTAGGCCAACGGCAAAGAATTTGGCTGAGACGTTGGCTAGGCTTTCAAATGGAGTGGGAATGGAAGTGTTGGCACCAGATTGGTTTGCAATTAGACCGTCCCTTCTGCCAAGTAGTACATTCCATGAAGGACCTCCTGACTGCAAATATATATCATAATAATATGCACTCTAAATTAAATACCACTACATCCTTTATTGGGTATCAAAATATTAGTTTCCAAGAAGAAATTTGTGAAGAAAAGAATCATCATCAAATAACTAGCAATATTACCAAAGACACAGAAGCTTCAGCAGCAAGGGCAAGAATATCAGCACAAGATACCACACCAGGACATGAATTTTCAACAGATGTCTTGATGTTATCAACTACATTAAACCCACGAGCGGAATTATTGTTGGGAGTTGCATTTTTCTCGCTCAGTGTTATGTTGCCACCCTGGTCTAACAGAACTGATGCATCACATCCCTGAAAAAGAAAGAAAAATATTTATTAATCAGTCATGTAAGTGCGTGACACCCCAATAAAGATTAACAATATCAGTTGTACATACATATAAACTTATTGAAAATTTGTATGGAGGTGATAATTATATATGGGATTTACGTTAACAAAGCAATCATGAAAATGAAGACGAGTTAGGCTCGCGGCAATACGAGGATCAGATTGCAGAGCCTGCTGAATAACACTGGTCACGATGGAAGACACATTGGGGCATGTGTTGGAGTAGAAGGTTGAACTAAGTTGAGCATTTAATGGATAAAGAAGGAATAGTGCTGAGAAAATGGTAGCGAAAAGGGAATAAGTGGTAGAACAAAGCATGTTTGGCTTCTTGTATCTTCTTTACGAATGTTGGGTTTAGTGATTCATATTTAGGTCACACACACATATTTATATAGAAGAAACAAGAAAGTATGCCTTTAATTACTTCATAATTTGCTTAAAGATAAAGTTTTTGGTTGTTACTTGACCGTGCAAGCTAGCTATATAGTATTATAAAAGAAAGATGGATTTGATTTGTACTACTCATTAGGTACGCAATGGGACATGGAAAGGAAAATTCAAACCATAATGATTGCACTAAAGGATCTTGAGGTACTCAGTCAAATAATTTGGCAATGTAGCTTTTAGCTTGGTTGCCTATGAATCTATAAATTGAATGCCACGAAACTTCCAAAAAGTGATGGAAAGGAAAAACAGAATAAGTTTATAAAATTTAAATTGTCACCACTCAGTACTCACCACATAATATCTCTCTAAAACCTTACTACTTTAGCCAATCTACTATAAAACATTTTCCAAAATAAACAACTATCAAAATTTTCAAAATAAATTCATCGATCAAAAAATAAGTAAACCAAACTATTTCAATTAGCAACTTGCAAATTTGATTAAAAAGAATATTGGGATATGGTTACTGAATCAATAAAAGAATAAAAGTACATAATGAAAAAGATGGAAAATAAGAAATATGCACAAATAATTTTTCTAAAATAATTGATTCATATAAGAAAATAATTTTGAAAATCAAAATAGATTTATAAGAAAATAATAGCTTTCTAAAACATGGAGAGAATTATCAATTTCACCTCTCTTATATCCTTTTTCATCTAGCAGGACAACCAGTCAAGGGCAGTATTTAAAAATTCGGTCCGGTCATCGACCCGGCCGAGGTCAAGAGTTATGGGGTCACGGGTTTAATCAGGGGGTCACGGGATCACTACGCTGACCCGGTTTTATATATTAAAAAATAAATAAATAAATATATATATATATATATCTTATATGAAAATATTAAAAAACAAATCACCAATCATTAAAGATTCAAAATATATTTAACGTAATTCACCAATTACAACCACAAGTCAATATTACACAACCTAATTAAAGTATCAAGATACCAAAGTACAAAACTCATATTCTAATGATACCAAAGTATCAAGATACCACAAGTCTAGGTCGCTGGGAGAGAAGAAAACAATTAGATTTAGGTTTGCAAACATTTTTATTTTAATTTTTTTTAATAAAAACGACGTTGTTTCATAGAATTTTCTTTAAAAAAAACATGTAGTGACCCCCTTTGACCCAGAGTCACTGAAACCTGTTGGGTTTGCTCTTTTACTAAAGCCCAAATGGGTTATTAGTATGAGAAGAGCCCAAGGAACCTAGAGCCCAATGATCTAGGGTTTCTTGAAACCCATATAAATAGTACCTCTTAAGTCATCAGCCTCCAAGGTCTTTTTTGTGAGAAAGAGGCAAGCTCAGAATCTAATGAGTGCCCACACACTTCCCCTTCCTCCTCGAGAGATAGTTTGGAAGATCTGCCACAGTCCAGCTTCAAGGAGGTTGTTCGTGCTGCGGCGCTGAGGTGAGCTGTTCGTGAAGAGGAATCCTACAAGGGAAGATTCTACACGAGACCTGCGCACCGAGAGGTAATTGTGAAACAAGGATGATTCGGTAAGCATACCAATGTACTAGGTCCTAAACCGCTTCCGCATAAATCTAAGATTTCCTTCAATTGGTATCAGAGCCTTGGCTGTACATTGGTATGTGAATCTAGTTTCACTATTCATGTAATTAGTTTTGCTTCTTGAAATGTGGCACCTAGGGTTCTAGGATTATGGTATGAATCTAGCATGTGTATTTTATAATTCATTTTCATAAAAGTTTAAATTTTAATCGGTAAAAATGCTTTAATCCATGGTTAGGGTCTCTCGTGTATTTCTCGATTTGTAACAAGGAGGCTAATCCTATATGATTAGGTTTCCTCCTTGCTATTTTTGTTTATTTTTGGAATTTCTGTGTATTTTTTCAATATTTTGTAAAAGTTCAAGATCGAGAAATCGCGAGGAAGATGCGTAGTCAGCACTGTCGGAGACTTTTCAAGGTCTTCCCGATCTCGGAATGAGGCGATCTATATATGGTTGGAAAGAGGACGGAAAGACGAACGCAACGGTGGGTGGATCACCGCCATCGGAGACTCCATGCTCCACCACGCGCCTCCACAAGACGCTGAGAGTGGCCGCCACTCTCCGGCAAAGAATGGGAGAGTGAGAGAGCGTCCGACCACCTTTTTGGGTGGTTCCGGCGGCGGTGCACTCGTCTCTACGTGGTGGTCCTTCCCTTGGAGTTTCAGAATGATTTGACTTCGGGTGACGGCGCGGCAGACCTGACGGCTAGGGTTCCTCTTTCGAGTCCTAGGGTTTCTCGCCAAAGGACTGGGTCTTTGGGCTTTTGGGCCCATGAAACCCTAAAGGGGCTTGAGACAGATACTATGGGCTAGGCGAAAGTCGAATTCCAAAGTTGTATTATTTAATTTAATTTAATTTAATTTTCTTTAAAATAGGAAGGCCATGGATTAAAGTAATTATGATTTATTATTTAATTATTGATTGGTATAAATTATATGATTGATAACATGCTATATTGCGATAACATGCCATATAGAATAGGTGGTGCCATATTGTTGCATAACTTGTATTATTGCATGAGCATAATAGCTATTATGTCTTCAGCGACTAGTATGAAAGTTATTATGGGATTATTTTGATTTTAAATCATCCTAAGAAATTAATTAATAATTATTATGATTTTTATTAAAAATCTAGATTAATAATTGAATTAATTAATTTTGGATAATTAACATCAAGACAAATAATCGTTATGGAAATTATTTTGATTTCAAATTATCCTCATAAATGATAATTATTATGATTGTTGCAATCTAGATTAATAATTAAGTCAGCTATTTGGATGATTTAAATCTAGAAAAATAATTAGAGAAAATTTCCTAAGAGAATTCTTTTATTTTGCGAGTAATTTGTGGGTTTTCTGAAATAGTCATGGAATAACACACGCTGCATACAACATTTATGTATCATGATTGTTTGGAGCACACGCTGACGTAAAGTGACCAGATTTCAGGACCTTAATGCTTTCAAAATTATGTTAAGCTTAGTGCACGTTTATCGGCGCTCTTACTTATATAGTTTTTGAAATCAAACAAAGGATACTCTCAATTAAATAATTCTTGGAAATTAGAAAATGTTGCTTATGTTGAATGGAAGGAGATTTAAATTAAGAGATTAATTTAACCTTCAAGCGCATTATAGGACCATTAATAAAATAATCATGTGAAGTCCCATCGAATAAGCATGATTGGATTTTATTAGATTGGACTTAAATATCTATGGGAGGAGATTTAAATTAAGAAATTAATTTAACCTCCAGGCGCATTGTGGGCCTATCAATAAAATAATCATGTGAGGCCCCAACGGATTAGCATGATTGGATTTTATTGGGCCTTAATAATTTCAAAATTTTAATAAAGTATTGTACGGCCCATCGTCGATAATACTAAGTTATTAAAGATAATTTTGAAATTAAACAATGAATTCGACTGGGCTTATGAAAATTCTCAAACAAAAATGTTGAATGGGTGAAGGTTTTAAAAATTAATTAATTTTAAAACCTGCGGGCTCCATTTGTGGGTTTATTAGTAAAATGGTTATCGCTGAAGCCCCATCGGATAAGGATAATCAGATTTCACTAGATTAAATCTTAATAATTTCAAAATTTTAGTAAAGTATTGTACGGGCCATCGTCGGCAATGCTTAGACACTAAGGATAATTTTGAAATTAAACAATGGTTAATTACATTCAACTTTGGTAAAATTGTTAACCCTCCCATCGAGGCTCTGGCAATGGCACTGAAGGCCCAAATAACAATTTTGGTTTTTACAAGTGACTTGCCCATCGTAAGCCTTGTAAAGATAAACTAAAGGATTGTTAACAATAAACAAGAGTAGTTATGAGAATCTACTCGCACTTTGTTTGTTTATTGCATTATTTGTTTGTAATTGTGTGCTTTATATGTTTTTCAGAAAATATCTTAGAAATGATTTTGAGTCGAAAACCTCTAGATGATACCAACTATGAATAAGTGAAAAGCAAATCTTTGATATTGTTCTAAAACATGGAAGCTAAAATTTGTTCTAACAATGCGAGGGCCATAGCAACCTGCAGAGGATGCGTCTTAGGAAACTAAGATGTATTTCTCAGATTAGGAAAGGGCAGATATGGTAGTTCGCTGCTATATTATTGTGAGTCTTTCCAAATACTTGCAGAAGCAAGTGTACATGATTAAGAGTGGAGTAGAAATGCTTCAGACTCTTAATGACATGTTTGCTGCGTCTAACAGCTCTGCTAGACAGAATGCAGTCGGTGCAGGTTTTGCTAAGAGTCTTGTTAAATCCAAAGGGAAACCCAAGGGTGGTAACAAGAACAAAATGACTTGGTTATCAGTTGTCAAACCAGTTGCTATGAAGAAGCCGCAAGGCAAGTTCTTCAAGGGCAGACTGAAGGGATACTGAAAGAAAAATTGCCCAGCGGTGATGAAAAGAACCTGACATGGGCATATCAAGGCCTGATCAGTGAATGAATTATTGATTCAGGAATCACTGATTATGTTTGTTACTCTTTGTAGTAGTTCAAACATGGCATACCTGTCAGCAATGGACATAGATATTTTAAGCTTGAAAATGGGAACTTGTGTCTGCATTTGCAGTAGGACAAGTTATTTATAAGACTATTGTTTTGGGTGACTGTTTATTTGTTCCAGATTTCAAGAGGAATTCAATTTTTGTTAGTTGTTTTGGTTAAAACATGGGTTGACAATGCAATTGATTCCTCAGTTACATTTCGAAGTTCATCTTCGTCTTGTTTGTTCTGGTACATTGTTTAAATAGTGTTTATTATCTATGTCCTATACCCTTTTTTTTAAAATTTGTTATGTTAAATGGAAAGGATGATGAACAAGGATTTTCACCAAAGAAATAAA